TGTAGTGATCAAATTTCTGCAATTAGAAATGAAGAATTAATATACCTACTAATACAAATGGTACTAAGACAGAGATTAAGAAAAAACTGTCACGTCACTCAAGGCAGCCAAAGAGAAGAAAGATAAAGGATAAGAGAGAAGGACAAAAGCGATCAGTTGGTTCGTTGATCCGTAACAAAAAGAGGAATTAAAAAAAAAGAGAGAAACAGAGGAGGAACGAAAAGAAAAAGAGAATTCGGTCTGGGCCTGAGTGGATCGTATGAAGAGTCATCGAGTGTACACACGGGCGTCGCGTCGCGTCGTCGCCGGAGCCAGCCGGAGCGGAGCGGCGGCCATTGTATTTCCTCGAGGCAGGTCGATCGGGGATTTTGAAGTCGATAAATCACAATTAATTAGCGGGGCGTAATGATGCGGCATGTCGTTGCAATTGGTATGAGCTGACGGCGCGCGCGTACGCGCGTGTTGGTGCGTGTCCGTGCGCGACGGCCGCGCGCGTGTTCGTGCGCGTTCGGTCTGCGGGTGCAGTGGCCGGGGCTTAAATGCTACCGAGGCCGTCGCTGTTCACAGATTCGACGAGGAAAGAATTATGGGTACAAATTTGCGCGGCGCATCGTTCCGCCGATTTTACGCATAATCGCGGCCACCGATCGGATCGCATCGTCCCCGCGTTTCGCGATTTTAAACGCAATAATGAGCCCCGTGTATCCCCCCTCTTGGCTGTGTTTATAATTGTTTACAGCGATACCGGTTACGGCCGCTGATGTAGCCGCGCCGGGCTTTGCTTTTATTAACATCTCTCCGCTTCCGGACTGCTTTCTGTCTTTCTTTTATCGTACACGCTCGTTGCCGGGATTGATGATCGAGGTATCGATCTGTTCATTGTAATGTAGTGATTCCAAATTCGTTCTGTGTACTCCCGTTCCGAAATACACGATAACAATTCAAGTCAAAACGTTCGATGTATATCATTATTATTTCTGTCGTCAAATCGAATAACTTCGCTCCTGACGTATGTTCTATTTTATACCAGAATAGATACATATACGCGCGGCAGCAATAAAGAGGGATAGATAAACATGAAAAACAATAAAACGAGATTCAAGATCGCGTATATTTATTCGCTCGCACCGCACGCAAATGCCTCCGGCGTTAACATCTCTATCGTCAAACATTTTCCGGTCGACGGAAAGCGTTCCGCGGGACCGGTCACGAGGCCGCAGAAAACACGAGCGCGACCAACCTCTCTCCTTTTGTCTGGCTGTCCAGCCGAAAATAATGGTTTAACAGTTTAACTATTCGACGCCGAGGGAAGCGCGACGCAAGGGGCGACGGCCAGGGGTGCCGGGTGCCACGCGGAGCTCGGAGGGCTGGAAACGGGAGTAGGAGGACAGGAGGGAGAGACAGCGTCGGAGGTGTTAATACAGAGGTCGATCTCTCCCGACTCCGGGTACCAGTTTCATGCAATATGCGCATGTTTAACTGACCAAAGAGCTCTGTATCGTGGGCCTGGCAGAATAGAGTGTGCAGAACCGAAGCTCGGTGCTTCCAAAGGGACCGGTTAGAAAAGGCAGCCAGCCTCGGGAACTCCCGCTTTATTTATACACCGCACTCCAATCCGGCGGCGACGACGGCGACGACGACTGGCCAGTCGGGCCAACCGGCTACGAAACGTTGCCGTGTAAACACCCGGACCCGGCGAACTTCGGGTTTCCTTTGGACTCGGTCCCATCTTTGAGTTTCTACCCCTCCGCGATCATTTTAAATCGAAACTGGTCTACAACGAGAATCAACGAAATCGGAAAGAATCTCGTTTTAATGTGTCGCTCGATTATTCTTAAAATTATTTTTAAAAACGAGGTAGACGGCACCGTTTTGTCACTGTGAAATATGAAATTTAAATTCTCAATATCATAAACTAGTGTTTCGCACGTGCTGTATGATGGATGTGAAATTTTTCTTAGATTGTAGTATCGAAAAATTCTGTCGAAAGATTCAATTCCACTTGGATTCGCCAACATACTCGTGAAGGCTCTCCCGTTCACCGATGGTAATCGAATTTTTGCGATCCAGCACGGCCGACAATTACGTCGGTTTCTGGGGCCGAGGTAGGGGCTCGAGTTGCGTCAAAGATGGCTATTTGTATACCTTAGCCGTGTGTACCTTGGCCCTACACCGGCGGAGAGTGCCGAAGGCGGGTGGCGGTAGAATGGGGCTGGACAGTGAAGCGGGGGTTGCAGCTAGAAGCGGAGCAGAACGGAACGGACTAGAGGAGAGTAGAGCAGAGTATGGAGCAGGCAGCCCGGGTCAACTTTGTTTGCATTGGCCGTGCATGTCCTGTCGGGCATGGGGCGGCCGCTTCTTGATGCAAACTGCCCATTTGCAACTACAATCATCTCGACGTCGAATCGCACGGGCTCCTGGCCTCGATTGCCGTGGAACGCGCGCGCGGTGTATAAACCGACCGCACTCCGGTGCTGGAACGGTGCTTCAGTCGCTGCATAACAGAGTGAAAACAACGGCCTGCAAGCCGTGGAACCAAAGGCCGTGCCAACAGAGAGATCGGACACGATCCCTGTTCAACCCCCGGCGTGGCGCGGCGCGGCGCCCGTGAATTCGACGCCCGCGACGCTTTGTACGATCCGAGGATCTCGATTCGTCAGGATTCGTCCCTTTTTCCATCCGTTAATGCTCGTCGATTGCGGTTCGAAACCGGCACGCGTTTTATTAAACACCCTACCGCATTATCTACAACCCCGTTTCTCGCCGTTCTGGTGTTCCGCATTCTGTTTCTCTTTGACGAGTAATTATTGTGCCAGATAATTAAATTTTGATGTTCCAACGGTTTAACCAGAGGACTATATGTTTGTTGAATCTCTTCCAAATTAAACGAATCATAGCTCCGAAAGAATAATTCATCACGCGATGTAAAATCGTACAACGACACAAGAAGTTTTACAAATTTTCTAAATGAATAAATTATGAAAAGAGGAATTCGTTTAAAAAATTAAGCGTCTGATACTGAAACATTCAACGAACGAGAATAGGATAGTTATAAATAGACTGAATTGAGATGGCAAACTGGCAACTTAATTAACCACGAATATTGCGCAATCAATTATCGATTAATTAATAGGAGGTTGGAGCGTGTGTATCTTAGGAAGCGAGATGGCTTCGGCCGAATCGATACGTTCAGAACTCAAAGTGCTTCGCCACGATTAAAATACATATAGCCTACGGGCGTGAGCGCGGTGACAGTCGTTAATATTCTACCCGTGCGACGTCCCACTTCTCTAGCGATGGAAAACACTGGTCGAGAAGTACGTCATACGCATGACAATTTTCAATTTCGATAAAAATGGGGGCCTCCTATAAATATTACTCATTCTACATTCTACGTGACACAACAGGCGTCGTCGTACGTTTTTACTTTTCAAACCGATCTTTTTGTCATCGAATTAAATTAGAGTAATACGCGTTGCATGCAAATTATATTTATAAACCATTTTTCCCGTCGACCACAACCAGTGCAGTTGGAAGAATGTAAATACGTGAGAGCGCGCAACGGTGGAAGTTTTAAAAGAAGAGAACGTCAGTCCTTGATATTGGCCAACTACTCTCTGGGTCACGTTCACTTCCAGCGAGCAAAGTATTACACATATAGCTGCAGCGAGAAGCGGCGCAACAGTCCGCATCATAAAATAGATGACACTGATAATGGCAGCGGAGGGATCAGCGAATCGAGGACATCACTTAACGGTGATTTATAGAACTCGAAGATGTTATCGCCCCAATAACTTTAATTTATATTCGCGTCAAGCTTCTTGAATACGTAAGATTAATTATCGCTCGCGAGTCAGGTTTTGCATGAGACTACGGTGAATAGAGCCAGTTTGAATTATTAGTTACGGAAATGATTAGAGGTGGGAGACGCTCCTTTCGAGGATTCTGGAATATTTAACCTGCCACCCGAAGCATTATGAACGCTGAGTAAAAAATTGATGTTTACGAATGCAGACGGGGTTTGAAGAAATATTTTGTTGAAATTTCAATTCTGATTATCGCTCAAGGTAAACAATTTTTTTTTTTCCTCAGTAGTTCTGCATTTCCAGTATGCGTACATTGCAAGGCTGTTTTTTTAAATGAATACAGTTAACAGGGAAAAATCCGGGACTTGAAAAGACGCGGGGTTCACCTGTTGTGGCCAGGTAGAGAAGGTCCCCGGCTACTCATTAGGGAGTATGACAGATGTAGAGTGTGCGCGAGTCGGGGTCCCGGGGCTGCGATCTCGCGTCGACATTTCCATAATATTCAAATGCGCGGCGAGGGTGAAACAGAGGCGAGAAACGGGTGCCCGGGGAACAGAGATATTCCGCGGGGCGGCGGGCATAGGGGGGCAGGAGGGTTCGGTTTCGAACTCGGCCTCGGCGCACCGAGGGAACCGGACGGAGAGAGGAGAGATCGAGGGTGCGAGAGCGCGGCGTGGTATGCCGCGGCATGGTGTTGCCGGCTGACATATTTATCGGCGGCCACGCCACCTGCAACCGGGCCCGCGGCATCCGCACAGAGCGCTGTTTTGCCCATTTGTATCCCCCGATCTGGCGACAGCCCAGTTCGCCGTTCGGCTCTCTCGCGTTCCCCGTTTCTCTCTCGCGAGCCCCTTTTCCTCTTCTTGTTCTCCACCGGCCGCTCTCGTCCCGCCGCCGAATCTGCAACCGGCAGCGTTATCCAGGCCAGAAGGGATGACATATTGGCTGCTGCGCTTTCTGTCTCAGGTCGCCAATTGGGGGATGATCGCTGGGAACTTTACTAAGAATTGAAAAATTACACCGAAGTTCATCTTACAACACCGACTCCACACTTCCTTTCATCATCTTAGTATGTATTTCCTTATCCATATTAATATTCTATCCGTTAATAACTAGTTTTCATATCTAAGAATTTATAATCAGACCGAACAGGCTGTAGGCAGATATTAATCTGCGACCTGAATAACAACCATGAAATTGATATTCCTAATGCGTGTGAAGTAAATTGCAATTAAAATCAGTGTAAACCAGTTTGGCCAAAAGGAAACGATCCAACAAATGGACGATCCAATCGGTTCAAACCGGGTTCCACCGGACAGCCTCTAGCAATTTTCACTGGCGAAGAACAATCTCTCCCCTTGTCACCATTATGCCTCATAGCTAGCCACAGGCGTGGCTATTATAAACATATACAAATTCGTCAGTGGCCGTCGCGAACAATGGACCGTTTAACAGCGGCGGAAATATATCATCGTGCGGTGCGATTCGTCGCCGGACACGAGGGACCAGAGAAAAGAAGAAGAGAGGAGAGGAGCCCGTTCGCCGTAGAATGGAGCGGAGAAGTCTAAACGCTGTGGATTTACGGTGATCGCGTGCTACCTCTCGTTTTTTTACTCCCAACTATACATCATCTTTTACCAGGTGAGAGGATTAACCTTCGACCAACCGACCGTTTAGCAGTCGCTGCCGGCTTCTGTGCCGTCTCTCGACCGGCTAACGCACGAGTCATTAATGATATTATGCGTATAATCTCGTTCATAAATCAGCTGACAGTATATAATCAATAATATAAAATAATATGTTAATAAAATGTTTTTCATTAATATAGAATTGCTGATATGAATAAAAATAGAGATTGATTTCATAGAAAAAAACTTGTCTATATTCAATAAAGATTGTTGTAATGACGTCGTTAGTTTATCATAAATGATAATAAGGTCAGCGCGTATTTCTCAGCTCATACAGTCTTTTATAATTATCAGGCTTTTTCTCAGATTTAAAGAAAAAACTAATAAGTACGTTCAGTTTCATAACTTCTGAACGAGAATGTATGTATGAGCACATAAACTGGCTTGTCAGTTATGTTGTTTTTGTTACTAGGCTTAAGAACCTTGATGACAGTTAATTGACTACTTAATAGTATTTCTTTAATCTACTTTGTAGCATGAGAAAAATGAAAGATGTAATCTACCTTTCTGATCAATTTCTAATTATGTCACTTTTGCAATCAATGTTTGACACGTTTTAATAGCTACTGATTGGATTATAATATCCCTTGTCAATATTAAATGCATATGCTTATCAATATCAATGCAGTTAACACATTAATATGTAGCCTTTTCTGCTTTGTCAATTAAAGAACTGTATCCTGTCTGAATACTTGCTGTCAGAGATATCAGCATTTGATTTTTAGAATATACCTTATAATAAATGCATATTTATTAAAATCAACTGAATTAACCGGCTTCGAAATGAATATTTAATCGTCCTGTCAAAAGTAATATATGAAGACTGACTAATCCATTCTAAGATATCATTTTTCAAACACGTTCATATGCGCAATATAAATGATTCAGGCATGTTATTAACTAATTTCTGTGCTTCAAGCCGATGGAAATCTGTAATAAATGTTCATATGCATTTTAACATTTATTATTAGTTGTTCATATAATTTTATTATTTTAATATAAAATATGATAGTACTTAATCATTGTCCCACACCATATTTGTATCGATCTATTTCTCCTCCCCGTGTTCCATTTATTCGCGTTTCAACTGCAACACATGTGTCCGACTACCGCGAGGACTTTCCACTACGTCCACTTCTACTTACACACATTCCGTCTGCTCCCATATTGGCAAATGTCGCCGTGCCGCGCATCTACATCTACCATCGCATCGATACGAGATGTACGCGCGTCGATGCGTAACGCGCAGTTAATATTATTAGTGTTACATGCCAGGTACTTCAAGTCCAAAATAGCATAGCTCGATGTTCTCCTGTAGGTCAGACCACGTGGCCGCTTGGCAGAAGGCCATTCAGCGAGTGATAACGTACTGGCACTGTGAGAGCACAATGCGAAATTCTAGCGCCCCTAGTACCATCGGATTCCAGCCTCCACTCTCTCTCTCTCCCTCTCTCTCTCTCTCTCTCTTTCTATCTCCCTCCGTCCGCCCTGCCACGAGCCTGGACGATGCAATTTCCACGGGCGAACGGTTGCATCAAATTAAGCGCATACTTTTCTCTCGCCACCGATTAGCTGGCCGTCGCGACGCAACGGCTCTCTTTCGTCATTCCTAACAACGAAACTTTCGGAACACGCTGGAGGAAGCGTGTAGTTTGATAAATTAATTCTGTTCACCAGTTTTGAAGTTAAGAAATTTGTAACCGTTTCATTTATTTTTTGTAATTTCTCGATTCTATTTTCTATTATTCTTTCCTGATACTATACATATGTACGTGCATATTTAGTCTCTTATAAATATGTGAAACTTCTATTTCCGTATAAAATCATAAATTCCGATGCGTGAAGATAAATCTGATGTTACTTTAGTAAATAAATTATCGTATACTGAATAAAACATTGTTTCATTATAAAATAATAAATATTCTGCATGGACGTAGAATTTCTCATAAAGTATATTTAATTTTACTTTGTGTACGATAGAACTTTGATGCATCGGGAGTCGAACAAACGTCACTAAGCAAACGTTTCCCGAGTCAAACAATCGGTTGTTTAAAGAGCGTGGGCTTTGTCTGTTAGCGAATATCTATTATTGCGAAAGATTCCAGGTGATGCTTAGAACTAATTTTGTTCATAAGTTGCATCTCGGAACTATGCAGCAGACGCGACGTCACACGCTGCATTTAAACGGGTAATTGGATAATCGACTCGACCTTTGCATTCTTAAATTAAACGTAGAATTAGGTGTAACAAATTATGGAAAGATATACGACGCCATTTTATACGCGGAGATATTAAACGAATCAGGATTTGAAATTACATACGCGTTATTATACTTAGCGTATTGCTCATGCAATTTACCGAAGACTGCGTAACCTATTGTTTCCATCATTTTGTCGTATAATATCAATTTCCAAGCAATCTGCAGTCGTCAAGCTATTTAAATGACTCAACCCGCGTGCACATAGTTAAATAATTACGAAATCCCTATATACTAACTACGCAATCGCTGTGGAAACGATTCCACCGGTCGATTGAATTTATTCCAAGCGTCTCTCGTAAGGAATCTTACTTAAGTACTAATTGATATTACCTTATACAGTTGATAGAAACGATATAGCAAATATTACGATGTACCAATCATATCTGTCTGTGTAGTTCGCTTTATTTTATATTTCTCCTTGGCATATTCGTAATTATATAAAACGTACATGTACATGCATATTGTGTAATGTTATTTCTTACTACATAAAACATGATTTACTTAAATAATAATGTAGCTAATAATTGGGATAAAAACAGCTTTAAGAAAAATAATCGATATTCAGTTTCGCGAATGCTTTAAATTTCTTGAGTACATTTTATCTCTCGCAAGCTCGTTATATTCGTGAGTGTACACGGTAGCAGACTGAGACCGGGTAAACCGGAGGTCGAGGTTGCCGGTGTCGTGGGTGCCCCTACCGAATTCCCTCGGTAACCCCATAAACCTCGTCAAATCTCCCACTCCATTGGCGCGCAATTTCTCACAAATAAAAAACCATCGGCGAGAGCCTGTTGGCCGCGGTTGCCGGGAAGTATTTAATCCCCGGGCACACGGAGGGTTAATGAGCACACGATGCGACGGTAACGGAAGCTACATTCGCGGGGCCCACGCCGCCGCCGCGCCGCGTCGGGGTCCCCAGCCGCCGTAGTTCCCCGTGGGAGAGTCATGTGGTCCCATGCGCGGCGGACCGAATGCAGTGGAGGGAGATACTACTCCTCCTGGGTATATTGCTGAATTGAGGAAGGCGGTGTTACAAAGCGCCCCGTAAATCCGCGCCAGCTTCGACACCCGACATTCCCTCCGTTTTATTTCGTCCCCGCGGCGCGGCGACGACGACGCGGGATACGTCCAGGCATTAAAAATAATAGCCGGGATACTCGGGGAGCAGGGATTCCGCGGGGCCTCGCCTCGGTTCCGCAGGAATGCCGCTGGCCCGAATTTTGCGCGCCGTCCTCCGGCCCCCACTGTCCTCTTGTATTTCCTATTGAAGACAAGCTTGACAATTAGAACGTATTGCTGACACGTTGCAGCTTATCGTATCAGCCAGACAGTGTTCCGCGATCGATCAAATTGTTGCTCTCGAACAAAAAGATTTACATGCTTCTTAGATCACGTATACATGTTATAAATTTCGTCTACTTACTCCGTGATGCAAACGGGTTTCTAATAGTTCGTCGAGTATAGGAAAACTCGTTCTCGACGTTTTTTTATACGATCGAAACGAGTCCCGGTGGCCATTGTCCTTATTAATTGTTACTTTTCTACGAATGACCGGCTCGTTGGGATGCTTGTATAAGGTAATCGGCCGCGCAGATATGATAGAAACCCGGAGAAACGAGCTGTCGCAACGACGACACGGCGCGGGCATCGGGGCAACAAGGGCAGCCACGGTTTATCGCCATACATGGAACTGGAGCACGCGCCATATGAGCGACGTTTATGGATTACAAAATTGCGGAGCGAGCCTAACCAGATTTGAAAACCGCTTCTACATAAACGTACGCACCGCGCTGCGCTGGTTTACAGGAGCTCGGAAAAGAGAAGAGAAAACACGGGACGGCGAGCTCGGCCGTAGACTCTCTTAAGCCTCGTTCAGATTAGTCCAGTTCAATTCTGCCGGATGCAATTCAAATAGCATCGTTTAGATTTCAATTCATTTCTCCAAATTTGTATTTAATTTCATTTTACAATACAATAAATGATACATTTAATAATCATTGGAATGTATAAAATCAAAATGAAATGAATGTATTATTAAATATTTTAATTAGAAAGTCATTAAAAGGAAACAGTCACTGTATCGAAGAAGAACGTAGTTTTTTAAAATAATTCCAGACGCAGATTGAACCAAATAAAATCAGAGAGCTTGAGAACTTGAAAGCGTGCTCGAAGTTAAATAAAACAACGGATTCGCATTGAGTAAAACGTTTCAAGTGGCTTGACTAATCTGAACGAGGCTTTAGCCGGGAGAACAGAGCGCGCGCGCGCTTCAGGAATCCAGAAGTGTAATGACACGAGTAATTGGGCCTTAGAAACGGAATCCCCGGCGACGGTTTTTGCGGCGCGCGCGGCCCTTTTGCTAACAATAAACTGCGCATACCGGTGCCGGTGGATCCGGGAAAAATTCACCGTCATATTTCTCCTCCTTGCGCGCACCTGCGTAACCGCGAGGGAAAAATTTTATTTCGTCCGAGACTCGCGAAACCAGCAGCCACGAATCAAGGTTAACGTTGCTGCCGCTGCTGACCGACCGTCGTTGCTTGCCGAGCAAAAAACTCCGCAGCGGTTTCGCAAAATCAAACGTCGCGCTTTTTGCCCGCTGCTAGTTCAGTTTTGTTCCAATGGTTTATAGGTCGCGTTCGAACGGGACAATTATGTGCTTTGCAAAAATTAGTATTGGATTCATCACATTTTCTACCGAGCGCAATAAATTTCTCGAGGTATCCTGACGTTAGAAAGTGATACGAATTGAGAGAAAGTGAACACTCAAGAGAGAAGCATTGCACATCCAATATACGTGGTTAACGCGTATA